AACAATGTGAATAAACAGTTGGGGGTTGGAGAGTAATGCGGTATAAAAAGGTTGGCAACCACTGAGTAAACCTGTGGGTCGTCTTCTAGTTAAATAGTAGGTTAGGTTTTCAAACAAACAGCTTAGATAAGTAGTTAACTGGATTAATGTCAAAATTTCATTCTAAATCAGCTAAATCTAAATTCACTTTGGTTGTTAAATTAGTTTATATTAGAATGAATTTTTTATAATTAGAATAACATAGTTTTATAAATTACCAGGATTTTTATTATATTCATTATGTACCTTACAGTACAATTGATTTGCTCTATTAGGTTTCATCATATTTGAAATAATCGTTTCAAAGAATTTTTAAGATGAATTGATATTAGTGTCAGTTTTATTAGTGATCATTTGTTTTAATAAACTTATTTTTCCTAAATATTTTGCATCATTAGTATAATTTTTATAGCTTTTGTAATTTTAATGTGCAGAAATAAAATGATCAAGTTTTATTATCAAGAGCAATATTAGAAGTTTAAAGAAAGCAAATAAATGAAAAACCATTGAAGAGTGTAAGTTTTTGAACAAATCAAAATTTTACTTTCTCTATTCTAGAGTTCAGACAGATATATAGATAGATTTTATTCTTTATTGGTATCCATTCTTTGTGAATAGATGTTTGTTTTATCAATATAAATTTATTATAATCATCTTTTGTACTGTGAGAATAACACTTTTGGCTTGCATTCGATGGCAAAAAATAAGATTGGCTCTGGCGTGATATCTTTTGTATAAAATTTTTAAGGAGTTATTTATAGCATCAGATCAGAATTTTGTTCGTGAACTCGTCTCGTCATGTGTATGAAATACTCGTAAATGTACGCACTCTGACGATACTATAAAATTCAATTGAATACATTTCCGTACGACTTCCATACGACGACACGTGGGATGACACAACAGTATTTCAACTAATTGTTTACCATTAATAAACGATTGGTATAAGCAATTTTATTAAATATTACACCATTACACCAATACACCGATATTTCATGGATATTTCATCATCTACGTTCAAAAACGTATTTTGTCATATTTAAACTTGAACCCCAAAATCCTCTGAACTAATTATCATTTTTTTTCACTATATTTTTTATTTTTTTTATTTTTATTTTTTCATATTATTTTTTATTATTTCCATTCAAATAGTAATAGAATCTTAAAAGCTCTTGTTACATAAAAAAGAGCAAAAAAGTCAGAATATAAGAAACAATAATTGTTTAGAATTCACTCCATGAAGAGAAGTATGAAGAGATTAAATTGTTAACGCATGACTTTCATATAAAAATATTTAATATTTTTTAAGTAATTGAAATTTTATTTTGTTTATCATTTGCGTTCAATAATGACCGAGATGTGAAAATGTTATTAAAAAAAAATATCGTATTTTTTTCGTGGAATACAAAAATCCTATGATTAAAACATATTTTTATTCTAGACCAGATTTTGTTTATTGTTATGTCAAAATATATAGAGGTAATACTATTTTAATAATAGTTTTTATCATACAATTATTTTTTTTAATATTTTATCACACCATTGTATGAATATAAAAGTAGTTTCAGAAATGATTTCAAAGTAACAGAATAATTGAATATAATCCTCATAAAAGCTTTTATTGTTGCATGAGCTTTCATATCGAGCTTTTCAATGGAAAATAAAATACATTTCATAATTTTTAGTATATTAATGCCTATTATTAGTTTATTACTCCAAAAATCCTGGTCAAACGTTATTTTTCTTTCAGACCTGTTTTTTTTTTATTATAACCAAAATATATAATACTAATCAAGTAATAATATCTTAAATAATAGTTTTTATCATAAAATTTTTTTTTTTAATATTTTATTATACCATTGTATAAAAGTAGTTTCAGAAATGATCTCAAAGTAACAGTATAATTGAATATAATCCTCATAAAAGCTTTTATTGTTGGATGAGCTTTCATATCGAGCTTTTTAATGGAAAATAAAATAGATTATATCATTTTTAAGGTATTAATTCCTACTACTAGTCATTGAATGAATCAATAAAATTTAAAAAAATGATTGAAATTTGAATTGAAAATTGAATTACTTTAGGAAAATAAATTAAATAGACTAAATTGCAAATTGTAGAATTGATCGATAATGTACTAAATTTAATTACAAAGGTATAATAATATAATTTTCTACTGTATAGTAATAATACCTACTATACATATAGTACTATTAATAACTTTTATAATTTTACACCGTTTGCAGAATTAAGATTTAGATTAACTCAGCTTATATTTTAATTATTAATTAGCAGTAATTAGTAAAATTTATTACCTTTGAATCTTCAACTATTTTACAGAATAAATGTTTGAAGTTTTACTAGACATGATTGTTTTTAGAATGATTATAGTAATTAAATTGACATTAAAATTATTATTAAAGATAACTAAATTGTTATTTTGTTATCGAGTATATATTGTTTTGGATTCATTTTTTATATAGATTATAACTAATTGATATAAATAAAAAAACTTCGATCATACTTGAAGACTTATAAAATATCTCAGATAAAATAAATAAAATGAAATATTTTATATAAAATTTAAATACGTTCAATAAATGCAAATATAGCTATAGTTGCACTAGTATATCTATAAATTTTATATCTAATAATTGTAATGAGATTTATTTTTACAATACTTATCTGCTTTAAAGTTCATTTAAATTTTCTTGATTTATAAGAGTTGAGATTTTTTTTAGTAACGGGTTTTTGTTTACTTTGTTTATTAATAAGTATATTAATTACATTTGGTATATAATTTTATTTTATATATTTATTTTATTTATAATAAATATGAATTTTCTTGTCGGATTCGCTCTACTGAACCACATACACGCACTTTTAACAACTGAAGTGAACAAAAGATACATATTAATTTCCCGAATTTACATTTTTAAGCAATAGAGTTTTGGGAAACATTTTATAATTATATATTTACATTTTTAATTTGTAATTAGATTCAAATTATGGTGTATGAACCATAAATCACAAGAGACGTTAATAGTAATAGTAAGGGTATAGTTAAACTTCTAGTGAAGTAAAATATGATTGTTTTATTTTTTTTAATTAATTTTATTGGCACCATCCTGGTATTTAAATGATTTTGATGCCTGGTGGATCTAATTCTGTATGGAAACACGACCAAACCCTTTATCTCATGAGTTGAACTGATTGATTGATCTATATTGCAAAATTTTATTTTTATCTCTTATTATTACATTTCTAGTCTTAAAATTAATTCAGCCAACAACTAAGACATCAATAGGTCTTCATAGATCATCAATTATATTTATATTTATATTTATATTTATACTATATCACTAGTAAATTGTTTCTTGTACCAATGGGCCAACCAGAAAAATATTTCCCTTATTTTTATTTTATATCTTTATATCGCCTGAACATCATGTTTTATCTTTACATCATCTGCTATTGTAAATTATGAATTTTAAATAAATATAGGAATTTTTTTACAATTTTAATGCGAACTAATTCATTATGCATGCAATTCCACTGTGACTTTGTGAAAGCATATTGACAGGCAAAACGAACTATATAGAATGATCAATTTCAATATATTATTAGTAAATGAAATCACTATTTTATAAATATTTATTAAATCCATCTGTTTCTTTTTAAATATTAATTGCATTAGTGGTAATTTGTTTTTCTAGTTCTTTATAATTTCAAGGCATTGTTAGAGGACATAAAATAAAGTTGAGTGGTAATCGAACTACATTTTTATATAAATTGCATTACTGGTAATTTGTTGTTGAAGTTATTTATTATTTATGTAATATGTGATGTTGTATCTGTAATTTATGTGGTGCTATTTTTAAAAATTCCATGATAACTAAATTTAAATATTAAAATATTGTTAGCATTTTTACCATTTACATATTTTTTTATATTAATTTGTTGAAAGTTTGTTTAATGTCATCATTTTTGTCCCTTTTTACATATTGGAGAATTTTAAATCACCCATTTTAGCTTTTGAATTATTCGCACTGTTTCACAATATATTTCTAAATATTTAATAAGTTAGAATTGTATACTCGAATATGATTTTTATTTTGCTTTTGTATATGTATATAGATTTGGCAATTTATTAAAAATTTTACAAGAAGTTTACAAGATTTATTTTTATTTTACATTGCCTATTATATTTATTTTAGCTTCAGCTAATTGTAAGCATTGTAAAATTGTAAAATTGATTAAAATATTTAATTAACAACGTAAAAATTACATGATGGTATAGTATTGGTTATTGTTATGTTAATTTATTCTAAATGCAAGTAATGTTATATAAGTAATTTAAATATCTATAATAGTTTTGAATAACGCATGCTTCGTAGAATTATTTATCGTTTCAATGACGAAGTAAAATTTATTTATAAACTTTGTTGATATGGTGTTTTACGATAATGATTTTTTTTATTAACAAATATATTTTTATTAACAATTATTTTAAAATTTTAACGGCGTTTTGTATTTAGCAACTGGTGGACGAAGATGGAAAATGTTAACAAAATTGACTTTAATATCTTTGTATAACTATTTAAATAAATACAGTATAACCATGTTAAGATTTTCATGCTTAATACGACTTCTCGCCTAAAACGCTGCTTTACAGCGCTCCCTGCACTTCAAAGCATATTGTTTCGCATAAGACGTCTTTTTGGTCTAGTTCTTGGAAAATCATCTGAACAGGGTTTTACTGTGTATATATATTTTTTTATTTATTTAATGAGAAATTAAAATATTCTATGGACTCTTGTGATCATACTCCTCTTTTACATCTGGTTCTGTTTTAATTGTTGAAAGTTACAAAGTTGGAGCATAGGAGTAATTGCGGCTTCTTTCTACATTTTTTGTTCATTTGTCCTAAATTTGACTAATAATTGTGTATAATTTTTTAGTTACAACGGCTCGGACATAAAATGTCGACGGGGTCGAACTCGTCACAACATCGCAGTCCTAAATCGTCTGCCATCAACACACCTTTGCAAAAAAATGGAGATGCTGTACATACAAAACCAACACATAATCCTTCAGGTATACTGGAGAAATAAATTTTTGCTTGTTTAAACTTAAATTGTTACAATTATATTTTATTTATTATTAACAGCAAATGCTGGACAACGAGATAAACATAAAGCAGAACGCGAAGGTCTTGTACTATGGAGGAGGCCTTTTACCACACTAAAATATTCAACACTTGAATCATGGATGCTCCTACAAACATACGGCAGAAAGTACGTGGAAATGAAATTCAACTACATTTGCAGATGAATAATCAAAAATTTACTTACACCCTTCTCTATTTTTACAGAGTTAGGGAATACAAGAAAACAGTAGTCTTTTTAATATCTTTATTACTTGTAATGACGGCTTTGTGTCGAATACAAGGTCCACACCAGGAATGGGTCGCACTAATTAGGAGTAATGTCTGGTGGGTAGTTTATTGGACAGGGCTCGGAGTGTTATCCTCAGTGGGTCTAGGAACAGGCCTGCACACGTTTTTACTTTATTTAGGACCACATATAGCAGCTGTTACAATAGCTGCATATGAATGTGGGGCTCTCAATTTTCCGGAACCACCTTATCCAGAAGATATTATTTGTCCTACGGAGCCTAATCCGCGCATGGCTGCTTCTATATGGAACATCATGTCTAAGGTTAGATAAAAAATACTTTTTAACACTGCTGAAAGTTGTAGTTTACTATCTACATTATTATTTCAGAAATTAGACAGTCTTGGTTTTACAAAAATAAGCTTGAAATATTTTTTCAGGTTCGAGTTGAAGCATTTTTATGGGGAGCTGGTACAGCGTTAGGAGAATTGCCACCATATTTTATGGCAAGAGCTGCTAGATTGTCAGGTTAGTTTATCTAATCGTTTTTATTTCTAATCTTAAATTATTTGAAAATCGATTGATTGCCTACTAATAACGTCGTTCTTAGAAATAAGCAGTGCTCAATATAGCTTAAAAAACATCTAATAGTTCTGATTGTTGTAAAAATATTTTTTACTACAGGTTACGATCCTTCCGACGCTGACGATTTAGCAGAGTTTGAAGAACTTCAACGCAAAAAATCTGAAGGAACTTCTCTTAGTTTAGTAGACAGAGCAAAACTTGAGGTTGAGCGTTTAGTAGAAAAAGTTGGATTCTTTGGAATACTTGCTTGCGCTAGTGTAAGTATCGTTAAAAATATCATTATCATATTTAATGTTTTATATTATTATTAAAATTTTATTACAGATTCCGAATCCTTTATTTGATTTAGCCGGGATAACATGTGGCCATTTTCTGGTACCGTTCTGGACATTCTTTGGTGCAACTCTAATTGGAAAGGCAATTATCAAAATGCACATACAAAAAGTTTTCGTAATAATAGCATTTAATGAAGCACTTATCGAGAAAGCTGTGCAGTTATTAGAATTAGTCCCAATAGTCGGTATGAAACTTCAAGAGCCATTTAAAAAGTTTCTGGAAAATCAAAAAACAAGGATGCATCGTAAATCAAGCTCATCTAGTCCGCCTGTAGAATCTGGAAATTTATTGGCATATATTTTTGAAAAAGTAGTAATTCTGATGATCCTATATTTCGTTATTTCAATAGTTAATTCATTAGCGCAAAGTTACCATAAACGAATTCACAAAAGATCTGGACCGAGACGCAAAATTGCTCGAGATTAGGAAATTTTATCTCATAAATTGTGCAAAATAGAATATATGAATGTAGATAAATCGATAAAGATTAGATTATTTTATGTCTGTAATTTTTTCTGGATGGTTAAATTATAGTGTTAATTTTAGGGTGTGATTTTATTTAAACTTGTGCTACATTATTAGTGAGTAATACTAAACATATTGATTATTTAATATAATGAACATTTTTATTTAAGAAATACCTATTCTGTTCGTGTGATATTAATGTATTGGTGAAAAAATCATCAATTTTTTTGGTGTGATATCATCTATATTCAGATATTTTTCATGAATGTGATATCAAATTAAAATGTGGATTGATAATCAAATTAAATGTCCATCAATACTTAGCGTTCATAATATTTATGATTTAATAACAAAATCAAAATAAAATAGTTGTGATAGATTTATATATTATGTAGTAGATGTTATCACACCTTACAATGCACAGTGTTGTGTCGATTACATGGCACTCTATAACTGTATTCATTTGTTTTATAGTACTTTTCTGTAATAGTTGTTCTGTAATTTTGTTTATCAATGAACTTAATTTTATAAATGTATTAAGTGCATTTGAAAAGTACCATAAGACAACTGAATTATGCAAGAACCAATATCATATATCATTTGAAATAAGTATAACATTGCACTTGTGCCTCACAATTAAGTGAAGCAAATCCTATCATAAAAAGTAGATTAAAACAAATACAATAATTCATGACTGAGAATAAATTTTAAGCAAAAGTTTATAAATTTGGTGTTGCAATGCGTCGAAAGTAATTGCCTAAATTATTTTTGCAACTTGACAGTTATTTTAATTTGCTACTTGCAGAATCAAATTGGAAATAGAAAAACGCCAAACTTAGATAAACACTTTGAATATTGATAAGTAATTTAATATGTAAAGGCCACATTTTTTCTATTTTATGCGCATGTTTTTTAGGTTGTACATTTTTCTAGCTTCTTCAAATTTTTAATATTGGTTATTGTTTTTTAAATTTGTTTCTGCTAGATAATTAAAGAATATGCATTACAAAATAGATTACTTGTAAATGTAAATATATTTGATGCATGCATGTATATTGAAAACGGTAAAGACATATGTAGTTATTAGAATTGTTATGCTCAACGGATACGAAAATCAAAGATTTATAACATAAATATTCCATATTAATATATACTTCAAAACACTTCAATGATAGTAATATTAATTGAGAAATTGTAGGTAATAATAAGAATTTTGTATCTTATATAAAAATCATTCCATCATGTATGATTTTATATGTTCACAATGTAATGTTTGTGTAAAACTGTTTTTCGGAGCAGTTGGAATTATTTAAACCTAAAATATATTTTATAAATCACGAGTGGAATTATTAATTCTAAAACTTGCTTTTTATTTCAATATTACAGTGAAATATGTAAGCATCCAAGTATACAGAACAAAATGTAAGTTTTATATATTAATGCATGATTACTATAAATATTTGTAACGTAATGCATAGGTATGTCTATTAATCCAGTTTATATGATAAGAGACATCAGTGAATACACCAGGAAGACCATTTACACCACAATTAATTCCATAGCTCACAATACCAGCTAAAATCCAGGAAGCATGTTTCGTATCCAAACAAAGCAGAGCTGATCCAGAATCACCCTTAAAATTAATGATTACAGATTATTTGAATAATTTAACAATATATGAAACAGTAATTGTATTTTAATAAGATTTTAATATAATACTTTGGCTGGTTACAAATCCGTGCTCATAAAGTAAGTCCATCTGATACTTTTTTTTTCAGAATTATTTACATTACTTCTAATTATACTAGTGTTATTTTTCTCACCTGACAAGTGTCTTGTATACCAGTTCCTGCACAAAATAAGCCACTGTTTCTAGGTGGTGCCAAATATTGGCCTAAAGCATTTCTACATCGCCAAGGCGGAACAACTTCCATCAGGGCTGCATATAATCGCCCGACGTCTGGTTCAACATCACCGTAAATGTTACGAACACCAGGGCCTGATACGAAGCAAGCACCTAAAATTGGATCATAAAGTAGAGGAAATAATTATCTTAATTGATGTAATATTTACCTTTGGCTCGATATTTTTTAAGTGGAAGTTTAATTGGTAATGGAAAAAATTCAACTTTTGATTTGTGTCTGATATCTTCTACGCCGACATATAATATGGCTATATCATTTGCATTTGTTCGTCTGCAAGAAAATTTTGATAATGATATGAAATTACGAAAAATAATATAATAATTATATAAGAATAAATATTGTTTCAAACGTGGCAAAAATATGCACATTTGTTTACTCTTTTTGAAAAAGTCATAAATTATAATTTCTTATTATCTATTTACCTATTGAAATTATGGCTAATAATTTGTTTGACCGGTAGTATTATACTGGAGCCGTTTTCATATTTTCGTTGCTGTACTAGTAATTTTTCTGGTAAGCTAAAAGTTTGAAGAAATAGTCTAACTACTATTGAAAGTTTATTGGAGGTTGATATCTAATTATTTATTTATTACTGACGAATTTATAACACAATGAGCTGCAGTTAAAACAATATCTTGAATTCTTGTTCCGCCGCAAATATGTTGGCCTTCTCGGGATATATAAACAGCAGCGGGAAACATATCTAGAACAGCAAAAAAATAAAATTAAACTAATAAAGAATTTAAAAAATATACAATAACTAGTAATATCATTATTTAGTATTTATATTTTTATCGTTAATACTTCAGTGCATTATTTTCCTTGTTTACCATAATTTACAGGTATTCCTCCAATTACTCTTTTTATTCTCTCACATTGAACAAAACAAAGTAGGAGAACTAAATAAAAACTTCTAAGTAGCATTATTAGGTCATTTATTATCTTTTAAACAATAATATATCACTTTTTTGACTATTTTTTAATGAAATGAAAGTTTGCAGCATAAGAGCAATAATTTATTTATGATCTTCTTAAGATATGTAATAAGTACGCGCTTCTTTTCAAATAAGTAAATAGTAATAATCTTATCTAGGTAATTAATTATGTAAAATAGTTAAAAATTTGCAAGAAGAGTAGTACAGAGAGATAAGTTTAGTATACCAAGTTCCATTAATGAATTGTTATCAAAATTCTTGTTCTTGTCTTCTTACAATTAAAAAAATATATATATTAATGTTATATTTATTTCTAGGTGAATAAAATTGATTATAAATAACCATAATTATTAATTTCAGTTATATGCCATTGATTATACAAATTTTGAATTACGCGGGAACAATGTGGAACAAAGGGAAGTTGCGCCAATTGTTTCCCATATCGCTCCATCACAGAAATCAACGCAGAAGGAGATGGTAAAATTTTATACCATTATATTTATATAATATTTAAATTTCTCATAACAATGAATATAAATTTATTTTGAATATATATATAGGCGTATTTTACAAATTTCAAATCAGAATTTAAACCTACCGCCACCTGTTACTCGCACCTAACTTTCCTCTCGTTTACATTCGTGTCAAATCGTTCCGACATTGGTTCATGTTTATATTTGTACAATAATTCAAGTAATGTCATTCCGTTTATCATTAAGTGATCGTGTTCTCTTAATATGATATGACATTCTTTAATCAGTCGCTCGAAATGTGAACAAAATGAAAATATATCTTTTAGGTTATGTGCTTTAATTATCACGTGTTAATAATAATATTTATAAATTGTTTTTGAGATATTTTTGCAGTGTTCAAGTGATGTAAGTTTTAGTGCACGTGGATTCTACGCAATTTTTGCATAGTTGAGGTATATTTTGGGATTATGACATTGAGATAAATGATTTATAATGGATGTATTGTTGTCTGCAAGTTATGTATTTGAATCTAAAAATACAGTCAAATTGTTATGAACGATCGTTTGATTAGTTATA